TAGAAAACTTGACTGAGACACAGCAGTAGTAGTAGTAGTGTTGTTAAAAGGCTCGTTTCGAGCCGATTCTTAAAAACAGCTGACTCGATATTTTAGTCAGAAAAATATTCCTTAAGCCTCGAGATTGTTCCTTCTACAAACAAAATCTTCAGGCTTGCCTAATACTATTCTGGATGAAATATTGAGTTAGCCGTTTTTAAAAATCGGCTCAAAACGAACCTTTTAACAACACTACTACTACTGTGTCTCAGTCATGTTTTCTAGACTTAAAAAATTGAATTAAGCTTCTAAGTTGGAGCCTCAACTTGAAGATTGATTAGAATATTTACTGGATAAAAATATGTCTACACTGTTTAATAGTTGACTAAAGTTAGTTAGTTAAACGACACTAAAAAAAAAAAAATTGATAAGAATGATAACAAATAAAAGTATATTTTTTTTTAAAAAAACAATATTTTTATTTTATTTTTTAAAATAAATTTAAATCTGGGGTGACCATTCGAAATGCCCAAAATGTGAATCGCGTTGAATTTTATTTTTTTTTCGAACACGGAAATACTTTTGTATACGTAAAAAACTGATCCATCGTGAATCAAATTTTTAGGTCCCCCACCAGGTGTGATCTCGGCGAAACTTTTATGTAAAAATAAATTTTAAATTTAACGAATAATTGGTATATATTTATGTAATAATAACGATAGTCTTCAGTTTTCCCTTTTTAAACCTTAATTATAATATAAATTAGTTGTTTGTTAAACGGATGGATTTGAGTCGATTTTTAAAACCGGCGAACTCTATATTTTAACCGGAAAAATGTTACCCTACGGCTCGAGATTTCGCTAATCGATGTCCAGACCTTTGTGCCATCTATGAGCGAAATCTTCGGGCTCGCGTAATATTATTCTAGGTCAAAATATTGAGTTAGCGGCTTTTAAAAATCGACTCAAATCGATTCGTTTAACAACACCGAAATGATCGAACCTTAGATTTGGTTTACCAAAATTTATCGCTTATCCTATCCTTTATGCTTTTCTTTTGAAATTCCTGATTTGTTAAAAACAAATTTTCTTTCTTTCTTAGACAGAAGAGAGGAGAAGAGAGGAGAAGAGAAGAAGAAGAGAAGAGAGAGAGAGAAGAGAAGAGAAGAGAAGAGAAGAGAAGAGAGAGAAGAGAAGAGAGAGAAGAAGAAAGAGAAGAGAAGAGAAGAGAAGAGAAGAAGAAGAAGAGAAGAGAAGAGAGAGAAGAAGAAGAGAAGAGAAGAAGAAGAAGAGAAGAGAAGAGAAGAGAAAGAAGAGAAGAGAAGAGAAGAGAAGAGAAGAGAAGAAGAGAAGAGAAGAGAAGAAGAGAAGAGAAGTTAGACTATAATATAGAATTTTTGGTTTTTTCATTATTTTTTTTTGTGTTATAATTTAATCATTCATGGTCCTATATTGGAACATGGGATACTCAAGTAATTATTTAAATTTTAAATTTTTTTTTTTTTACAATATTATTATTATTTATATAAACATTTATATAAAACTACCATTTGGAGAATAAATGATTATCAAATCAGCATTAAATTATTATATTTTGAACCTCATCTAACGATGAGAATAAATGTAAAGATGCTTGTTGAGATAAAGATAAAGGGTTGTATAAATAAATAAACTTAGCGGTAGTCATAATCTCCGACAACCACGGAGTTTCAATTATAAAAGTGATATTAATATGAAATAAGGGAAATTCATCGTCAAAAAAAGAAGAAGAAAAAAAAAATATAAGACAATTCCAAACTGAAGATAAAATGATTTATTTCCATAATTTCTTCCTAATTATTACTCTCTTTCTTCCTTAAACAATTACGTGTTTATTTAATCCAAAAAAGAGTATTTTGGAAATTTTGATTTTTTAGAATTAATTATAACTTTGCAAGTTTAAATTTATTTATTGAAATATGGGCGAAAAAAAGACAGTGGAAGGGTCAAAATCTTCGAATGAATTAAGAGTATATAATAAAAAAAGTAATATTCGATGAGAGCATTATTTTAAAAAATAATAAATGGGGTAAAGCGGGGCAGGGAGGGCAATGTGGTTATGAAATCTCCGTGAAAACTTTTCTTTCTATATAAATATATAAAATTAGAATATTTTATAAAAATTGGCATTTTTCAGGATTTACACCTTGGGTTCCGATAGAAGGAACAACAATTTTCTACGGAAATAAAAATTTATAATTTTAGACGTTATAAAATATTCACATTTCAGGTTTTATCCCAGGGTTCCGATAAAGGAACAACAATTTTCTATAGAAATAGAATTTTTTTTTTTAAAAAAATATGATATATCCCCTTTTCTTGTCAACAATTCAGAATTTATTTAGCAAAATTGTTTTAGTCGGAGAAGGTAGAATGGGGGGGATGGTAAATTTATTGAGGTGGAGGAAAATCTGACCAAAACTGACCTTCCGTAATATAACTATGAGTGAGAAGAGACCAGAAAGAAATTGGCTAATTTTTCTCTCTTTTTTTGTCACATCAGGTGAAGGTCACATGCTTAGATAATGGACAAAATAAGTTAATAAAAAAGATCCTTTAAAACTTTTCGAAGTTTATAATTTTAGGTATTTTTGGTGAGTAAGATTAATATCGAATATGTCATTTTCTTATAAATAAACGCGTTCGCGAATATATTTATTGTTTCGCAGTGAAGCGATCGGGAAAATGTTTTCGTGCCTACACATTCGCGGTGGAAAATTCGCTTAAAAGGGTTCGCGATAAAACGTTTCGCTAATATGTATGCGCTCCTAAAGTATTTGAAGGTTAAGGTCGCGGAAACATAAGCGATAATGAGTTTCGCTATATTGTCTCCCATGTAAATGTTTAGTTGGAAAAAAAAATTTTTGCGTAATTGGTTACGCGATATTACCTACGCTATAAAATTCGCTCACGTTAAAAACGACATTAGAAAATTTATAAGGAAAAATGTACGGTAAAGTTTCAACAAGGAAAAAAAGTCCGATCAATAAAGAATAAGGTTGTCAATCAAACAAGGAAGAAGTGTCAATAAAGAAATGGGGAAAAATATTTCTACTTAAAAGGGGGGAAAGTCCACATCAAGAACAAGAAAAATCTCACAAAAGTTCAATCAAAAAAGTATCGATATTTTTTGTATCTTTTTTTTTGTCATTTTTAGTAATCCCTGAAATCATCAAAATTTTTTTGGGTTATTTACTAGATTATATGTTATAATATATTTTACTTTCTGTATTTTATCCCTTAAAAAGGAACGAATTTAGAATATTTTTTTTAAGTATCTGAGGTAGCAAAAGGCGGTAGTGAAGATTAGATTACACGAAGGAGATGAAAAGTAGAATAAATGTAATGGATAAAATCGATATATTAATGAACAGGGCATTTTTTAAAAAAAATAGTGGTGGTATATCAAAATATTTTTTTATTTTTACAGAATGTAAGCTAATTTTATTCACTAGTTTTGGTTATATTGGTAGATATATATATATATATATGTGGCCCATCATTTTCACTGAATAATTATAATAATTGTTATCATTATCGATTAGGTTCTATGTACTACTCTATATACTATATATATATATATATATCAATGAATGGGCTTCGACCCATTCGTCGATTAAAAAATTCTTGTATTTTTTTTAAAATTATTTATTTATTTTAGTCAAACTATCAAGAAATATCGGCCCTGAAAAAAAAATAATCATCCAAAATAGAGAATATCTTTCCAGAATAACCTATAATGGTAAACCAATAGAATAAATAGGGATAGGTTCTAAATCGCTAAAACAGAAATCGCTAAAATGGAAGAAATATCATCCAAAATCCCAGTTTTGCGAATCATATTGGGAATTTGGATGATATTTCTTCCATTTTAGCGATTTTTTTTTAATTTTCAGTTTAAATACAAGTATTTGATCCCCTAGTATCTATTAATATTAATTTCAAATTTACTTTAAAAATTTTCTAGGAGATATAAGCCATGTTTCCAATTTTTAGCGATTTTTGTTTTAGCGATTTAGAACGGGAACCGAATAAATATGGTCATATTTTTTTAAAGGAAGAAATGATACATTTAAAATTTGAAGTTTGTATAGTATATCCATAATCCCGTTCCCGATTATAAATTGTAAATAGTTATTTTGAAAAGTGAGAGGTTGGAGAGCTATAATAAAAGCTGAATCTAACATCTATAGGATCCTTAGACCCTTTATCGTAAAGGGAGGATCCTTAGCCTGTTTGTTTGGCATTTTTAAACAATAGTTGCCCAAAAAAATGCAAGATGTTTCGAATACTATTAAAAAGCCTTAGAGAAATTATCAAAGTAAATAGAATGCAAAGATGCAACTTGGAAAACATTGAGTGAATTTGGAACAACCGGATCTCCCTAATCCATTCGAAGCCATTTGGAATTTTATTTTCATATTAAATATGTACCGGTCCGGGTTTAGGCCTAGAAAAATTTCTAGTCAAAAAATTGAGGCCCATGAAGTTATTTGATTTAGGCCTTGGCAATCACGGAAAAAAATATGACATTGATCTTCATCTCAATGCTTAAAGATACAAAATTAAGTGTAAATAATTAAGAATTTATAGTCGGTGTTGAGGGTTTGCGATGAGGCAATTTGCCCAAATAAATCGGGTATAATATTGATCCATATTCTTAGCATCGCTAAAGCTTCGTCGTGATTAGCTACCACTATAAAAACCTAGTCTCTTCACATGATTTTTAAACATTTTTCTAATATCAGATTGAGTTTAATATAAAAAACTATTTTATTCTAATAAAACACCAAATTGTGATCCTGAGCTTTTAAATAGTAAATGGAATACAAATTTCGAATTGAAAAAATATAAGTAGATATATTATAATACTTTGATATCCTTCTTTAAAAAGAACATATAAAACAAATAATAAAAAACACCATTATAATTTTTTTTTGTAGTATTATAAAAACGAATTATAATATTTTGCATATTTGTTACAGATGTTGATTGCATCATTTTCCAAAATATCGTTCCTTTATCCTTTTCAACCCCCTAACCCTAGCTCTTGGTAATGAGATATGACGCAGAGCAAACCATAAATCTAAATTGAAAGAAATTATAATTAAATAAGTAAAGGGTGAATTAGGAATGAGGGAAAAGAATGGGAATTTTTACCCTTTAATATTTAGGTGGAAGTTTGTGACTAAGCGTCATAAAAATTGGGTATTACGTAAAAAAAAGTATCTATTATGATCCGAAATCTTTCGCAGTTTCATTAGATTTTTCTTAGTGTTTATACTAGAGCAGTTATTATCCCACACTGCGTAATATGAGAATATTTCTAAGAAGTTATCCTACCCGGTCCGATTATCCTTTTATCCGGATGAGCCAGAATTTTGAGCCAGGTCACCCCGATCTGGCAAATATATTCCTAATTTCATTTATTTTGGTTTAAGGTACATGAAAACATTTTCATGAAGGATGTGACATGGGTTTATCAGACTCCAATATACTCCATCAGTTAGTTTTTTTTTTAAAAAAAAAAAATTTATATGATATATAATGAAGAGAGACAAAAATTTCTTAAATTTTTCAAAAACATTAAAAAGTTATTAACATTATTGACTACTTATTTATCAATACTTTAAACAGAGACCTGCAGGTCCGGCCCTAAACCCGGCCCGAATAAAAAAATACCCCGGCTGGGCCTTAAATTTTAAAACCAACTTTTTGAAATGGCCATTATTAAGCTATAAAAAAATCAAAAATAAATATAATATATTTTAAAAAAATCCGGGCCGGCTGACTTTAACATTTAGAATTTAAGATTATCATGTGTTTATATATATATTTTGATATAGTATGTCTATGTTTATTGTAATATAGTATATGTTTATTTATTTAACAACAACAAAAAAGGGATATATCAATTTAAAATGAGATATATATATATATATCAGAGTTGTTAAAGGATCTAAATAGAAGTATCTAGATCCTGTATCTAGATACAAAAATGTGGTATCTGTATCTAGATAGATTTTTGGTTAAAATATCTGTATCTAGATATTATTTTAGACGATGTATCTGTATCTAGATCCATTTAAAAGTATCTTTTAACAACTCTGATATAGACCTGCAGAGGTTTCCATTATGATTCAAAGTCAAGAGAATTCGAATCCCCGCTGATTCCGAAACCCCGCACGACCTATATAATATTCTAAAGGAATAAAATAGGTTATATATTTTATACGCAATTTTTTTTTAAAATATTTTTTTTTGAAAGGAAAGAGTTATAATTAAATTTTGTTCAAATGTAAAAAAAAAAATAATAATAATTGCATCTAATTAGTTTAATACATTTTTCTGATGAAAGTTTGTATTCTAAATATTTTTTTTTAAAAAAAAAGTTGTTTTTTTTTTTTTGGGGGGGGGGGGGGGGGGGTGGGATTTTACTTGCGTCTCCCAATTTTCATATAATCCCAGGCACCGATACGATCATTACAGGTGAAAAGGTCAAAATTTAGAGAGGTATATCTTTTTAAATTTTCACTTTATCTCAATTTTTATTACTGATAATGGGTCCTTAGGTTCCCCTAGGCTGTAATATTATAAAGATAACTATTATCGTCGTGTTCTGAGACAGCAACCTTAGTTTCCTCGAATCTCAGTAAAAGATTTTCTTGCCACACCCCCCCCCCTCCCACTATTATATGTTGCTTTTTTTTTAAATTTAATTTTTTTTTATACTATACTATTTTAAAATATTTATAATCAAAAATTTATCTTATTTTTTATAAATATTGAAATTAAATAAATGTTTCTCGCATAATATATTATATATACATTTCTTTTCATATAAAAGCAGTTTAAAAGAAAAGGAAGCACTAATTTGTTATTTCTTGAAGCGTAATTTTATTTAGAGCTATAGATCCGCAAAACGGGTTCGGGCCGGGTCGGGCCTAATAGATCCGCAAAACGGGTTCGGGCCGGGTCGGGCCTAATAGATCCGCAAAACGGGTTCGGGCTGGGTCGGGCCTAATATTTTTTTTAAATAAATACGGCCGGGTCGAGTGGGGCCTTGGAAATTTTTTTTTAAATACATCTAAATTTATCAATTAAAAATATTTGAATTTATTTTAGAGAAAACTAGACGCCACATAAGTTACATATCTTTTATTTTGGATAATTATAAAAAATTAGTTTATATATTTAAATAAAAACGGGCAGGGCCGAATTTTCACTAGTTAGAGGCCCTACTCGTGAAAGTAGCCATTTTAACAACACTGCCAATTTTCTTTTTTCAAGTTGAATACCGATGATTTATTAAAGATTTACATATATATCGTAAATAATAATAAATTACTTTAAGAGCAAATTTACTAAGCGAAGCTACCATTAATATTGAAATCAAGATTATAATTATTACGATTACGTTATTCACCATCCATGGCCAAAAGTAGTTCCGATTTTTCTTTCATTAAATATGGCGTTATAAATTATTATTATTTTTAAAATTCATTTCTGCATATTTTTTTTATACCGGATAAATATGAATTTTTTCAGACATTTTTGGAACAGGAAACTAGGATTCTAGGGAACAGGAACGTATCTAGGAATCGCTAGAAGAAGAATTCATTTTTGGAAATTTAACAGGGAATCGTTTCAATGATAACAAGCCCCTAAACAAAGTGTAAAAATTTATATCTTTAAAAAAAAATTTGTATCGTTTTATTTTTTTAGAGGAATTAATTTTTTTTTAAAAAAACTTGCGTTCACCCATTTTTGCCTAGTGTTCGAATATTGGAACCTCTGCTTTTTTGATCTGAAATCCCCCCCCCCTCTACCATCTTTGTTAACTTGTTCTTGTTTACATGTTTATTGGCTGATATATATTTTTTTTACATGTTTATTTTCTATTTATAATTTACAATTTGTAAAAGTGTTCCTCGCGTTTCATATTTTTTTAAAAAAAAAGAGTTCAATTTACGGTTTTTTTTAATTGGCTGTGTTGTTAAACTGTTCGATTTGAGCCGATATTTTTAAAAACGGATAACTCAATATTTACTCGAGATTTTGTCAATAGATGTTCGAACCGTTATGACGCCTATGAACAAAATCTTAAGGCTCGCATGATATTTTTCCTGATAAAATATTTGAGTTGGCGGTTTTTAAAAATCGACTCAAAATAAGCCGTTTAACAACACTAGTCAAAAATTTGTGCTCACTATAAGAACAGGTAAATGTTTTTTTTTTTTACTGTAGAACGATTTCAAAAATAAATATTTGTGAATTTCATCAGAGACTTGTAGAGGTATTTTTTTAAAAAAATTTTGAGACCCGGCCCTGGTAAATTTAAAAAAATTAAAATACGGCCCGGCCTAGGCTGGGCAGGGTCTGCAGGTCTCTAAATTTAATATTTTTTAATATCATTTGTTTAGAACATTATTTAACTATTTTTATGTATAGCAGTTTTTATTTACATATTCAATTTATTTGTGATGAGTAATTTGATTTATTAATACATGTACATGTTCCTATATTTACGATCGACAACCTCAAATTAATATTAATTATTTTATTATTTTTTTAAATTTTTTTTATAAATTAAAGAAGTATTTTATAATTATTTTGGCATAGAAAAATTGTTAGTAATATTCAGAGTTGTTAAAGGATCTAGATACAAGTATCTAGATATAAAAATGTGGTATCTGTATCTAGATAGATTTTTGATTAAAATATCTGTATCTAGATATTATTTAAGACGATGTATCTGTATCTATATCCATTTAAAAAGTATCTTTTAACAACACTGGTAATATTGGATGAATGAAATAAAGAATCTAAAAGCTTTGGGCAATATAGTTTTTTAAGCTAAAATATCCAGTTATCCGATCTTCAAAAAAAAATAAATAGACTCAAATTGAGCCATTTAACAACACTAGTTCTAAAGATACATTTTTTTGTAACTCGGGGGGGGGGGGGGTATTTCATTAAAGTCGAATAGAGATAATAAATAAATAAATATATTATAACCTGTCTAACGCCACTTATCAATAATAATGATGCGGTAATCCCGAACATGGAGAAAATTATGATTGCCCAATCAAATTTGGGACGCTTAAAAATAAAGGATCGGGTTTTCGCGTAAATGATCGCCAAATCGTATATTCCGATACAGGCTGTAATCATGGAAATAATCTATTTATTATATCAAAATTTTATTTAAAAAAAAATTTTTTTTAGTTGACTCTTGGTCTTAGATATATATATATATATATTTGCTAAGCGGAGTTTCAAATCTAGCCTGCACCATGCGCAGTTAATTAGTGTTGTTAGAGGGTTCGTCTTGAGCCGATTCTTAGAAACGGCTAACTCAATGGTCCATCCAGAAAAAATATTACGCGAGCCTGGAGATTTTGCTCATAGAAGGAATAGAAGGTCTAGACATATAATAACAAAACCTCGAGGATTGGGCATAATTCTTCTGGCTAAAATATCGGGTCAGCTGTTTTTAAAAAATCGGCACAAAATGATCCGTTTAACAACACTACTAGTGATCTTATAAAGTTAGTTTTTAAAATAATAATGTAGTCACAATTTATATTTATTTTATTTTTATTATTCAAAAGTAAAATTCAGTTGCAAATTTTTTCAATAAACACAATATAGAAATTGATATTTTATATCATAGATTCGACCTTTGAATGATAACGATTTTTTAAAACATCATTATCGCTGATATTATTCATTAATTTATTATTATTTAAAAATGTAACTGGAGCTAGCTAGCAGAGGAGTGGAGTGGACACACAGCTGTTCTCCTAAAAATAAGGGTGGTGGTGGGAGGGGTAGAATTATCGTGTTATTTTAGATATTTTTTTTCAGATATATATATATATATAAAGAGGTCATGGGCAGCTCTCTATAAACTTTATAAAATATTTAGTTTAAATGTCTTTAGTTGATGGACATCAATTTACTTTTTAATACATTTAAAGAAGGAATCATCAGTTCTAGGGTTATCATTAATGTCATTGGATACGTGATATATTATATAAGTGTTACCATGCTGAGAATTGCAAACAACATACTTCCAGTCCTTGGAGAAAGGCAAAATAAGCAAGATTTTAAAATGGGCATATTGAATTAAATATTTATTTGTTTTTCTGTGCTTCCAATTCTTGAATTTATCTTCTTTCTATCGAATTTTTTTTTTGAAATAAAATATAAACTATTTAAAATATTGATTTTTTTATTATTATCTTGGCATTGGCTGCATGTAAGTGTCAGTCAAAGGATATTAAATTTTATAGAAATTTCTTTAAAGGGTAGGTCATACCATAAACCAAAGCCATACCATTTGAGCGCTTGGTAGTCATTACAAAGAATTATAACGCTTAGAAATTATACAAGACCACTATTAAATATATATATTATATAAATATATACCTATTGCTTTAAAGTAAGAAAACCTTACCAGCTGAAAAGTTTCATTTTTTTCAATTTTTTTTCCAATTAACGAATTTATTTTAGAATAATAGCGTGCAAGTAAACAAATTTTTTTTTAACTAAAATAAATTGCGAATGTTGTTTCTTTAAAAAACCCCAATACTCTACTGCTCAATTTGTTGGTACTTTGATTTGAATTAATTTAAATTAGAATAAGCAGACGATAAATATTTTTAATATGCACGAGCTCGAAATTATAATAAGCAGACGATAAATATTTTAATATGCAAGCGCTCGAAATTGTAATAAGCAGACGATAGATATTTTAATATGCAAGCGCTCAAAATTATAATAAGCAGACGATACATATTTTTAATATGCAAGAGCTCGAAATTATAATGAGCAGACGATAAATATTTTAATATGCAAGCGCTCAAAATTATAATGAGCAGACGTATGTAAGAGCTCGAAATTATAATAAGCAGACGATACATATTTTTAATATGCAAGAGCTCGAAATTTAAATAAGCAGACGATAAATATTTTAATATGCAAGCTTTCGAAATTGTAATAAGCAGACGATAGATATTTTAATATGCAAGCGCTCGAAATTGTAATAAGCAGACGATACATATTTTTAATATGCAAGAGCTCGAAATTATAATGAGCAGATAAATATTTTAATATGCAAGCGCTCAAAATTATAATGAGCAGATGTATGCAAGAGCTCGAAATTATAATAAGCAGACGATACATATTTATAATATGCAAGAGCTCGAAATTATAATAAGCAGACGATAAATATTTTAATATGCAAGCGCTCGAAATTGTAATAAGCAGACGATAGATATTTTAATATGCAAGCGCTCGAAATTGTAATAAGCAGACGATACATATTTTTAATATGCAAGAGCTCGAAATTATAATGAGCAGACGATAAATATTTTAATATGCAAGCGCTCAAAATTATAATGAGCAGACGTATGCAAGAGCTCGAAATTATAATAAGCAGACGAAACATATTTTCAATATGCAAGAGCTCGAAATTATAATAAGCAGACGATAAATATTTTAATATGCAAGCGCTCGAAATTGTAATAAGCAGACGATAGATATTTTAATATGCAAGCGCTCGAAATTGTAATAAGCACGATAAATATTTTAATATGCAAGCGCTCGAAATTGTAATAAGCAGACGATACATATTTTTAATATGCAAGAGCTCGAAATTATAATAAGCAGACGATAAATATTTCAATATTGCAAGTGCTCAAAATATTCTATTTTTTTTTGCAACGTGATTCAATTTTTTGGCTTGTGAATCTATCATTAAGCTCTCAAATGTTCTGTTAAGGCCATGTCCTGCCTCCACTTTTTTATTGCTACGTTTAAAACTCACAATGATAAAATTGAGAATTTATCTCCTATCTTTTTAAAGCAAAGAAATAGACCAGGATGACCTAATTTAACGCTAATTTAACGCTAATCATCAAAAATAAAAAATTCATCATAAATTTCAATTATTTAATGTAAATTTAATAAAAGTAAGTGGGGCCACAATTTGAGAATTTGATTTTTGCCTTATCTTAATATATAAAAAAAAACACGAAAAGTATCCCTGGCCTAAATTGAGGCGGCCTTTTTATTAGTAGTTGCATTTTTGCGTTACAAAAAAAATGCATTATGCAAATCGTAAACAAAAATAATGTTTTATTAAAATTATTAAGTTATTTGTTTTCTTTTTCTTTTATTTTGATTTATGTTTGTCAATAAAGATGAATAATCAGATGTTAGTATATTTTTTATTTTTATTAGGTTCCAACTTTTTCTCAATAAGCAAAAACTCTCAATTGTATTAGTATCGTAAGATTCAAAACGTTAAACTGTTACGAAAGGTATATCGGAAAATTCTAGAAGATTCATGATTGCGATCCTAATTTTATTTAATAAAACGATTGACCGATGGACTCGAGGAATTTGCCAGAATCAGGAATGAGAAGGGGATTTATTAGCAAATTTTGGAAGTATTTTTATCAAAATACTCAAAAAAAAAATACGGGGGGGGGGGAAGGGAGTTTAGATCCTTAATTATTTATTTTAATATGTGAAGAATATAATTTAAAAAAACAATTATTTTAAATGGCCATTTTATTATCGTAAATAATTAGAAATGAGATGCTAAAAAAAAATTTAGAATTAAATATTTTGTTCGAATTATTTTATATTATAATCATATGATTTTTTAAACATAAATATATGGTAAAAAAAAATAAATGAAAATGAAATGAAGAAATTTACTTACGATTTGAAACGAGAATCTTATATATATATATATATATAAATTTGTCCTGATGATTTTTAAGAATGAGAGAATGAAAATTCAAAAATGAAAGTAAAGTGTAGAGAGTTAATATGTTTGTTTAAAGAATGTTATTTGTTTTTTATTTATTACCATAATAAAATTTAATGGTAAAACGCGGAAGAATATATATTTTAAAAAAAAATGTATTAATCGGAATTAACGCGCACGAAGTGAACGATTTAAAGGTAGCGTCTCAAAACGCAAATAATAAAAAACGTAAACGCAAGCGTTAACTTTTATTTTTTTTCTATATGAAACGTTTAAATTCTAAATAAATAGAAAATTGCTTCCCATGTTAAAAGAAATAAAAAAATTCTGGCCGGACCTGAAACTTTTTTAAAAAATAACTCAGGCCGGTGTAGGATTGTGAAATCAATACCCATTGTAGTTTCAATACCGTAGTGATATTTTGGTATTGTAGAATCAATACCGTATTGATTTTTAAGAGATGTTTTCATCGCTTCAAATATATCGGCGGCCATTAAAATTGTAAAATATCTATTCATTATATATTTTTCATCGTTTCAAATATATTGGGGGCCATTAAAATTTTAAAATATTTATTCATCGTTTCAAATATATTGAGGGCCATTAAAATTTTAAAATAAATATTATTATATATTTATTCATCGCTTCAAATATATCGGCGGCCATTAAAATTGTAAAATATCTATTCATTATATATTTTTCATCGCTTCAAAAATATTGGCGGCCATTTTCGATTTGTAAAAATTTATTTAAAATAGATTTAAATGATTATATAAATGATTTTCTATTCTTTTATATAATTTTTTAAGGGAATTTATTTATTTTACAATTCTTAATATCCTATATAAATTTTAGTTGTTTAATATATACAAGTTTTCTTCATACATCATATTATTGAAATCTCAAGCCTTAAAATTTTAATAGACAAAAGTAAGCTAATCACAAACAAATAAGGGTTTCTATTACGTCAAAGGATCTCAATCACTCACTCTGATTAATCATTTTCTCTTGGCTTCTTAAAATCGTCATTTTATTTATTAGATGTATATATAATTATTGCAGATAATTTTAAATAAATAAAATGTATACAAATTTACTTCATACATCGTATTATTGGAATCTCAAGCCTTATAATTTTAATAGACAAAAGTCAAATCACAAACAAATAAGGTTTTCTATTATGTCAAAGCATGTCAATCACTATCTATCACTCTGATTAATCATTTCCTCTTGGCCTCTTAAAATCGTCATTTTATTTATTAGATGTATATATAATTATATTTTTAGCTGATTAAAATTTAACACTTATATTTATGGAATACAAAATTTTTATACAGATATAAAATTAAGTTTAAAATCAAATCTTAATGTTTAAATTATTATTTTAAACTGAAACAACTATTTTTGTTTGTATATATATATTTTATTGCAATAATATTAAAACTGGCTGATTTCTTAATACTATTTAAATAAAAAGGATATACATAATTTTATTTCAAAAAAACAAGAAAAATATTATAAAAAGAAAATATATCCCAAAAAAGGAAACATAATTATCACAAAAAATTGAGTGTATATTACACTATAATACGATTAAAATGATCTGAAGATGCATTTATCAAATATATATTAAAATTTAAATTTTTTATACAGTCCATTTTTGATAATGCAGAATATGTAATATATTTCATTCCCATTTTTACAATAAATAATAATTGGCGTCTGGAAATACGTAGCAGCTGCTACGATATCTAATTCATACGCCCAAGTTCCAGGTTGATATTTTTTTTGTATCAACCAAATGTTTTATTATGTCCTTCCCCATAAAATCAGTAAAAATATCATTATTTTCCAACAGCATCATATAAGAGATTATAGATCACCTTATAATTGCATGGTGATCCTCGCTGCCTGTGATCTCTTTGCCCAAGCAGTGATTCGGACATTTTTCTACCCTTTCTATCCGCACGTCGTGAGTTCCAGATCAGGATGTTGCCCGACTTCATAAGGGTTTTATCCTTTTGCCTTTTTTGATAATCCCTTTTTTGTAACAAGTATATTTTCTTTTGCCCTTTTCCATATTCTTAATTCTTTTTAATATTTCACTCTCTTCAAAGTCATTCTCAATATTATTATTGATTTCCTTAACAATATCTGGCTCAATTTTCAAATTTCTGATGCCAGCTTTGCGTTCCGACCATACATCATATAAAATGGGGTGAATCCTGTAGATTTGTGGACACTGGTTCGCATTGCAAACAGCCCGGAAGAACACTAGGCCATAGTGTTTGATCATCACTCAAAACCTTTAACATTAAGTATAGTATTATTATTCCTTTCTGTCAACCCAATAGCTTGAGGATGATATGCGCTGCAAATGCGTTGCACCGTCCCTGTCATTTTATGTAGTCTCGTGGCCATTTCACAGACAAACTCTCGGCTTTGATCATTGATTTGTTATATTGTATAAAATCAAAAGTTTATAAATTATTATAAATGCACATTTTTTAACCGATATATATTTATCGGCATCAGACCATAAATAAATTTACAAGTCTCTTTAGCTGTCTTTGATTTCATAGATTCTGCCTCAACCCATTTTGCAAAATAATCAGAGGCAACTGCAATACAAGTGTAGCCATCTTCTGAAGTGGGCAGGCTGCAAAGATCAATTCCTATTAGATCCCATGGAAGAGGTGGTACATATATTGGATATAAAGTAGAAGATATTTTAGAAAATCTTGTATTGGCCTTCTGACATCTATCACATGATTTTATAAAATCAATAGTGTCTTGAAATAATTTTGGCAACCAATATCTATAAACACAAAATTAACAAATTAACACCATAATAAATACCTTTTGAGAGTTTAAGTTGAGTTTTATTAATGCCTAGGTGGGCACCAATAGCTTTAGATTCTAGGGATATATCTGATCCTTGGTGAATAATAGATATTACCCTTTGTTTCTCTGCTTCATCCATTATTACTAAAGCTAATAAATAAATAGAAATTATTATTTTGTGATCACATTTACCTTCTTTATTCTTTATTTTTCTATAAAGAATATCTTCTTTAACAATAAAAATGTTTGCCGTACATCTAAAATTACTTTTTTACCTGGATCATTTTGAAGGATTAAAGGATATTTTCCTGTTACTAGATACTCTTTTATTGTTTGATATTTATCTGTTATTGCTAGATATAAATTAATAATTATAAATCTAAATGTACCAATTTGATTAATTAAAAATTTTGTGATATTTTAAAGCATTAGAAAATTTTCCTGTTATAAGTATTAGCAATAAAGCATTATTTATCTGTTCCTGCTTGATATAAACTTATAATTATAAATTTAAATGTACCAATTTGATCATTATAAAATTGTGATATATTAAAGCAGTAAAGGAAGGATATTTTCTGTCACTAAGTATTGGCAGCAAATGATATTTTTCTGTTACTTATATTCTCTAATTGTTTGATATTTAATTGTTATTGCTTGATATAAATATAATTATAAATTAAATGTACCAATTTGATTGATTAAAAATTAGGTGATATTTTAAAGCAAGTATTGGCAATATAAATACAAATTAAATGTACCAATTTGATTCATTAAAAATTAGGTGATATTTTAAAGCAAGTATTGGTAACAATTGATATAAATATAATTATAAATTTAACGCAAGGTCTATAAGTAGAAAGGCTTAGTAATATGAAAGGCTAAAAAATAATATTGAAAATAAAAATAACAAAGAAAATGATTAATGAGATATTTGATTGATTTATTGCTTTTTTTAGAGAAAAAATATTATAATAACATTTACATTATAATATTATAAAAATATGGAAATTTTAAGATCTTTTCAATTTTTTTAATAATTCTTTGAAATAATTTGCGGTTTTTTAAAATTAATTTTATTATATTAATTTAAAAATTAATTTTTTTAATTAAATTAATATTTGCTTATGATTTTATAAATTAAGTAAGTATACATATATTGTAATTACTTGATAAAAGAAGTATATGAGAAATATAAATTTTTTAAGGTATTTTTAATTTGAGAAAGCATTTAAGAGGGGAAAGGCTAACATCTTAAACGTAGAATATATATATATCATTGAACTCAAAATTTAATTTTCTATCCAAAACCGTTTAGATGTATTTTTTTATGTTTCCGGTTCACAAAATAAATTTTTTGTCGCGAAAGACATTTAAAAAGGAAAGGCTAACATCTTAAAATTAATTTTGAATATAATTATATCAACTCAGAATTTAATTCTCTATGTATATTCATAATATATTCACAAATTTTCCATATTTTAATTCCTCTATTTTTTACGGTTTGAATCAATATATCAAAAAAGAAACAGATACTGGAAAAATTCAATTTTCATACACTAAAGTTAATCGTCCAATACCATGGCGCAAAAAAAACTCCAAATAGATAATAAATTTTTTTAAGGACATTTGCGACCCTACATATTACAAGAAGAGATTATCTTTCATATTTAAGGTTATCAGGTTAATAAAAAAAATATTGTGAAGGTTTAATTATGATATATAGTCGAATTAGATGTTTGAAATAATAATCATATCAACCACTCTTGGCACCTTCGGCAAACTCGCCTTAGCATTTTTCAAAAAATTAGGATCACAAATCAGCAAACTCTCAGATGAACCCCGAGAGGGTTTTTTTCTTCGTCAACGATTATCCATAGCGATTCACAAAGCTAATTATATCAGTTTCTATGGTAGCCTTCTAGCCAAAGAGCTATCATAGACAACGCTTACGTTCTTTTTCATTTTTGTTTCCCTGCATCACACCATCTCCGTTCTTTTTTTTTAATAGTATTATTATATATTTTTATTTTTAGAAAATAAATAAATTTATAATTTAAATTATTGTTATAGGTTTTTACAATTTCAATTCATATAGCTAAAATTAAAATAACATTTTAATTGGATGAATAAAATATATTTAAATCTAAATTTAATAATTTGATAAATAATCTGATCTGTAAATAATAATAATTTTTCGCCACCCTTATTTTTGTTGTTGTCCTGAATAGTAACATTTATAATTAATTATTACTTATCAAATTATTATTATTAGGTATGTCATATATGAAAAACTGTCCTTTAGATTGTAAAGTTTATGTCGGAGATTTGGGCAATGGTGTACCGTCTCATGAATTAGAAGCTGCCTTTAGTAAGTATGGCAGATTAAAAAATGTATGGGTTGCAAGAAATCCACCTGGCTTTGCTTTTGTCGAATTTGAAGACCCTAGGGATGCAGATGATGCAGTTAGAGCTCTTGATGGAACGTAAATTTTATATTTTTTAAAAAATATTGAATTTGTATTTTAAGTAAGATATGTGGTGTCAGGGTTCGTGTGGAATTGTCACATGGAAAAAGTAAAAGCAAAGATTCTGGAGGTCGAAGAAATAATAACAATTCACGTTATGATGATGATCGTGATAGAAGGAGAAAGTATATTTATATTTTTAAAAGTTTTAATTAAGATACTTAGTATAAAAGTTTTTATCAAAAACAATAAAATATAATTCAATTTTGTTATATAGATATCTACTACTACAGTATCATCATTTCTACATACTGCATTAATACATCACCCCCACAACTTCTTTTTTGTACTTTTATATAAATGTAACGGCAATTAATCTTCTCATCATAGTCTTCTTGAAACCCGATAATATCACCCTACAACCAGCCACTTCTTTTTCTACACCCTTCTCACATTATTAATCAAATTTCACCTCTAAGATTAGATCTGCCAATATGTTATAATATAAAAAAAAGGTTATCATACACATACATTAATATAAAAATAATTGGTTATAACATTAATGTTTGAATTTATTTTATATAGTCGGAGATACTCGAGATCGAATAGCCGTGGAAGGTACAATTTACAACTAATTAAATTAATAGTAATATCTCTTATAGGTCCAGAAGCTATAGCAGAGGAAGAGGTAAATATGATTAACAAGATTTTAGCTGTGTGTGATAAGATTTATCTTCATTCAGAAAATTTTTATATAATAAATTTTTATTTATAATAATACTGATCACAATTTTATTATATGTGTATATTTGTAAAATTAATTATAAAATTTATTTTTATATCATAAAGCTGCTTGGTAAGCCATGTTAAGTGGGAACCCTAGATTTATTAATTTTTTACTTAGACTTTATTTGGTAGTACATTTTTATAATAAACAATTTTTAGTTGTTATATTTAATCTTAATATATATTTTCAAATTTTTGTACAATCCTCATTTATCTGTCTACCCTAATCATGTTTTCTCATTTTATTCAGTACCACTATCCTTTTCCCACGTGGTTCTATTCACTATACAGCACAATTTATAAGATCTAGCAATCTCATTTGTGATGTTAAAAACTAAAAATGGTCCAATAATTTAGCCCAAAATAATATAATGTAAGGTCTAGGGATTCTGTTCATAGAAGAAAGGTGTGGATTTCTATATGCCAAATCTTTAGGCTCACATTTATTTTGTCTAAAATCTTTATAGAGCCATTTTAAAAATACCTAAAATTTTAACTATTCAATACTACCTCTTGTGAGGGGGGGGGAGTTAACATACAAATTAGTATGTATTCATACTTTTTCAAATGTACTGCTCATTGCAAAGTGTCTAAAGTGCACTACTTAAATTTTTTAAAGTTATTCCCCTTTTCCTATCTTTTAGTTTTCATATGATAAGTATAAATACTGAAAAGTGCAAACTATTCATAACTTCATTTTAACATACTTTATTACCTCTATTTTTTGTTGGTTAATAATTTCTAAAACCCTATTAAATAGTTTGAAAATATAACCCAAACCAGAGACCCGAATTGCTATTTATAACGTTTCAGGGTTAGAATTTTTTTTTAATTTAAGCAACACCATTGTCTAATTTATTATAAGTATCTATGAATTATATATAAAAAATGTATAAGATTCAAAATAACTAATTTTTAAATATTATTTGAACGTAACATGGATTCCTATTTGTTAGTTGTGAAGATAACACAAATTTTAGCTCCAAAAAGGCTCTTTCTATAGAAACTTGTGTTGCGGGAACTGCCAGTACTATAAGAGCAAGTTTATATAATTCTGGATATTAATATTATTTCGATATCTAAAATATAAAAACTGAACTGTTTTAACATTTTTTTATAAAGGTTCTTTTTACTCCTTCAAAAAATAATTATATTGGTTCGGTTCAGATATATATGATGGTTTAACGCGTTATGGTTCACTCTGGGGTCCCTACATGAGAAATCTAGGAAATAGAGCTCCTTTAAAATTTCAGGAACTTAGATTAAATGAATATTTAAACACTTATTAATATTGGGTCAATAATAGATTGGAGTTTGATATAGTTTTTTTCCATGCAAAATTTTAAAAAAATATTTTATAATTTGAGTTTATTATACGAGTGAAAGAGTTCATTAGTACACATAGCAGATTGCCAACACACTTAACCTTATCATATTCTCTTCATCAAATTTGGTGTGCAAGTCTTGAAAGGATACACATAAAATTTGTGAATGTAATTTAGCATTTATGGCCATCATTTCATGCTGATATGATATTTCTATAGATTCGAGAACTTATCTCCTTATTAATCATCAAGTTTCATTTAATAGTATAATTTATATTATTCCAACCAACCTGAGCCAAAAATTTTTTGTCATCAAAATTAGACTTCAGGTACCCTAACCTTATATGAGAAGGTTAATGTGAGTAATTAGAAACAAAATCCCTGAAAAGCAAGCTAAAATCCTGAGTGGCGTTTTATTTTATATATAATTTTTTTATTTATTTTTGTTTGTAAATTCATTATATTTTTTTTTTATCACGCGCAATAATTTAGTTTGTTAACATTGGCGCAGTGGTTCGACTTAGAATCGTAAGACTCAGGATGAGTCATGTTATTTGTAGTTTAAAGAATTATTTTTTATTTCTGGTATTATAACGTATAAAACAGCCGTTTTCGGCAGATTATTCCTTATTAATGTTTTTATTTTGAATTTAATAAAATCTATTCTACCCGAACTGTTTATGTGAAGAAAAATAATTTTCAAAGCAGCATAACTGCAAATATAAACTATGCAAACCTTGTAGCACAGCTTATTTATCTCTCCTCTTTTAACTAATACCATTCACAGATAGCGTTTCAAAATGAGTGATTCATCTCTTCAATTGTTTATTAATGATTTGGAAGAACTAACATATGGCATCAAATACTGGATTCAGAAATTTAAAACCTTTAAGCAACCTGAGTCATTTTAGACATGGTTTGGAAAATATGATTTAAATATTTAGGTTTGGGGTTTTTTTTTAAAGTACATTAAGGATAGAACAAAGTAATTGATGCTTTTTATTTTTTTTAAAAAAATGTAAATTATTTCTTAACTCACCGAGTAAAAGTGAAATGTCTCAATAGACGCACTTTAATACTATTCAAAATCAATGAGGAAACTGTATAGGTTTGTTTGGGTTCATGTAGTGCTTACGTTAATGCGGTTTGAATTTTCTACAAATTTATCTTGCGAAGACTAATTATGCTAACTCCTAGTTCATGGTATCAAATAAATTTATATATATTTTCAATATTATTGAGTGTTAGATAGTAGCACAAGTCATAAAGGAAGGGTAATTCGATTAGGCAAGCGGACATCGTTATTAAAATTATTATGAGAGGGTATAGATTTTCCTCTTTAGTGTTTGCTTAGAGGTATTAGAGTTATTCGTTTATGAACATTTTTAAAATAACCCTAGAGGTATAATGGCGTTGGGCGAAGTAATGGGACGAATTAATATAATATCGCGTAATGGTAGTCATACTCGTCATTGCTTTTACAATAATTGAGATTTTAGAACTAAATATTTTAAAATATAAAACAATTTTAGAATTCCCCACAGGGTTACCAGATCCTTCGTGTTAAATGAAAAATATGACACAGGACCAGGAGAGGGCCAATAACATGCTTTGTTACCAAATCAATTAGGGATGTACCGATATTTTTTATTGGTTCGGGCCGATATTTCACTCATTTTAATATCGGTTATAGGCAAATTTTTTAAAATTTTCCGATCCAATCCGATATAAAATGGCGTTTTCAATAAAAAATAAAATTTTTAAAAAAGTTATATCTAAAATCATTTATTTTTATAAATAAAATCGTAATCCATTTTTATGTTTATTTTTTTAATAATAATTAATTAATAAACATATTGCCATGTTGTTATTATTTTTGCGCATTCTGTTTTAAAAGTATGCGATAATCTTTTCAGAATCTGTTTTAGTGAAGCTAGTGATATTGACTGTTCCACAGCCGCAGACTGACCTCTGATAAATTTGAAATTTTGATATTTTTAAAAGGAAATCTTTTCAATATATTAATGTTAAATATTATTTTAAATATTTATTTCAAATTTCATAATAAATTACTTATTATGTATATAGATTAATGTTATTACTTATTATATAAAAGTGATTTAACAATAAAAATATTTTATATACTTTTAGAATTGCAATTGAAGTGAATATAAACTATAACTAAATGACATAAGTTATGGTACAGTTAAATTATACATGTTATACTAATAAAAAGTATATTAAAAATTAAAACCATTGGTATCTTTTCAGAATACAAAATTAGATATAATTTCGGTTCGGAAATCGGCCGATACAAATTTAATATCGGGAATATCGGATCGGATCGGTCTCCAAAAAGTGATATCACCCCTAAAATCAATACTAATTTTTTTTAAATGTATTTTTATAAAGCCTGGAAAACTAAATTTATATTTTTTAATCAGTCATTAATTTATTAACATAACTAAAAAGAACGTTTGGCAACTCAAGTTGCACACATCAGAATATTGCCTAAAAATTGAAATTTTATTTACGAGATTAAAGGCATGCAACAAGCGGATCTCACTATAGGTGGAATAAAGAAATTGACACATTATGCGCGCGCATGTGCGGTTAAAAATATACTTTTAAATTAATATGAGCATGTAGGTGAATTTGAAATATTATTCGGTTGAATGGAACAAAACGGGTTTAAATTTATTAATAAAGTATTTATTTGATAATATTGCATATTTTATAAATTTCGGTAAAAAAAATAATATAAATAGACATAAATCAATCAATCAAATAATATGAAAACATTGGGCAGTCGGGTCAAATACAAATTTTATAAAAAATGGGTCGATGGACTTGTAATTAATTTTAGCCAAGGGAAACATGGCGTTCTGGTCAATACTGACTTATTGGAACCTTTAATTAGAGAGATGATGTATAAAAATGATAATACAAATATAAAATACTACCTGAGGAGGATAATGAAATTTTAATATATAAGGAATTAGATAAATAATGACTAGAAGTTTTAATAAGATACGGGGCATAAAAACACAGGGTCATCCATAATGTTTTTTTTTAATGTTTAAAATAATAATAAAAACAGTTAGCTAGGAATGTCTATGAGCATTATCTAAACTCAGCACAAAGATTAATTGATAAGTTGAGCAGAAATTAGTCACCCCCCCCCTTCCAAAAATTTAGTATATAAATAAGGATTGGGTGGTTAATGATTTGAAATAGCGTTTCCGTTTTATCGCTTCTTTTTCCTTCTCCTTATTAGCATAAATCCTGTAAAATTTTGCGAGAAGAGTTTTCGGAAGTCTTCAATCGATAAAACGCGTCGTTCAAGGTGGCTAGCATATTACGTTTAAGAATATATTCCCTTGCCAATGCGCATTGCCTGATACCGATGATGAGCGACATGTTACTCTTAAGATAATTCTCGGATTCGCCATCATCTCGATTAGAACTACCTGCTTCGGTGGTCTGATTAGAGGAAGGACATCGACAACCGCAAAGCGTACCCTCTTTGATGGCGTTGTTTATATCGAAATCGTAGATCATGTAAGGGTGGGTTGGAGCCGATAAATCGGCGGAAACCGATGGGACGGAAAAATGTCTGAGGTGAAACGAATAAGGGTCCGGTGTTAATATGTCGTGATTGGATATCGTCCTGCCATTAGAGATTCTAGTTTGGTGAGGGGCGTGGATACCAACCGTTTCTATAGAGGCCAGCGGGAAAATAAGGAATTTAGAACGAATAGACGACGGGTAAAAATCGGAAAGGGCGAGTTTGTGGGAGATTAACGGGATTTCGAAATTGAAAGGGTTTCCTGAACAAGAGTTTAGGAGCTTATTATCATTTGGGTCCCTAGGTTTGAAAACATCTTCATCGATGTTACTAAGATCTCCAAGTGGTCCAAATGCTGACAAACTCGATAGATTTTTATTATTGTCAGTGTAAAGGCCTTTCTTGGATCCGCAATCGCATTGCTGTTTTGAAGCTCCTTCTTCTCGAATATTCGATTTATTGACCGCTTTCCCCATATACAAACTGCGAAATATGATGCCACAGAGTTCTCGATTCCCATTGTGCCTCAATAAATGAGTCAAGCCTTGAGCGAATGAAACAAAACCAGCCCGAATAGCCAGGTGCGGATATAGTCGATCCTGTCTATTCATCTTGCTTACCCGTTCTTCGGAATTTATCGAAGCTTTTGACCTAAAATGGGCGCGCGTCAATTTTAAACGATTATCATGGTCAGAAGAAGTCAGTGATTCGGCTATATTTGATATACCTTCATTTGTCGTCTCTTTATCATCATTATAATGGTAATAAAGTTCGTCGGTTTCGACCGCTAAATGAGACCGGGGCCAATCGGACCCTTCAATCAAAGCGGTATCTCTTTTAAATCGGAAAAAGAAGGAACTATTTTTTGGCGGTAAATCTCCGCCATAAAAGAGTAGCTCGTCGAAATCTTGGAAAAGGATGGCATCCGTTAAGTCATTGCCATTGCGGAAGAGACAATCATTAACGTTCGCGACTTGCGCATTGTAATGGACAGCCTCTGGAGATCGTAAGTGGGTAGGTAGGATCCAAGAACGAAGATTGATCTGGGCTCGATCTTGGTAATGGCTAAAGAGAGCATGGGCCGGGTTAATTTCTTGAATTATAACATTTTTATTTGTATAAAAAAAATGCATATGATTTGAAAATTTAGGTTATAAAACTCATATGCAAATTTTTATCATATGGTAAATTTTGAATAGCAATACCAGAGTAGTAACTGTTGTTAGCGTACGAAGGAATCCTGTATAAAAACGTTTGCTGAACCCCGTTCAGCTTGTTCCATTCCATCATTTGCAAAAAATTTATGATAAACTTAGCGTCGTCGAAATAGTCGAATAATGGTGGCACGCACACGTTGATACGTAGAGGTGAATTAAGTGACGGAAGTTCGCCGCCGGATTTCGTAGCGGATAACGACATCAAATGCAGCGGAGAGTAGCTTTATGAAGATAATTTAAAATCCTATATATAAAATAGATTAAATCATTTTTTTTAGCGAAGGGAGAGATTTGCCAGAAATTTTATAAAAATATCATTCCGCACTAATTAGGGGAGACTGGAGTTATCCGGTAGTTGGGTTAAAAAGGCAAACAGCTATAACTTTGTCATTTTTACCGCTAATTGTTTCAAATTTGCTCAAACTCTATCAACCATATGTTTATTTATATTAAAGAGAGCTCCCTATTAAAAAAAATAATGATCAAAAACGATTCTTTAGCCCATTTTTTTTTGCTTGGAGGAAAAATAATATCTTCACAATATTAAATTTATATGCCATATTCTCACTTATATCACTTAGAAATTTTTTTAAAATATTAATAGATACTAGGGAAATAAACACTTGTATTTTAAATTGAGTTTTTATTTTTAAATATCGCTAAAGATATTGCTAATTTGATTATGATTTTTTTACAAAAACTCAATTTAAATACAAGCGTTTACTTCCTCAGCATCTATTAGTATTAATTTCAATGCTAAAAAATTTCTAGGAGATAGATTCCCAAATTTTAGCGAGAAACTTATCCCTAATATTACTTCGAAACTAGAAAGGTTTCTACAGCCATTTTAGCAAACTCATTAACCCCCCCCCCCCCCCCCATGCGAGGGTTCCATGGGTAAATGGCAAATAAATGTGCATTGAATTGCGCAGGAAAAAATTGGGTAATGTGTGGCAAAAAGTTAAAACCATAGTAAACGCTAAGACTAGATAAGGCGCATCAAATGTCCCGAATGGGAACATTCAAGTTGCGCTAAGAATGATGCAATGTATGCGTGCCTATATTGTGAAGATTAATAGTTAAATGTTAGGTTTACCATCTTACCCCCGAGGGTATTGTCATCTTACCCAGGGTCGTTGGTAAATAGTAAAAGCACAACTTTTAATTAACCCTAAATAGTGTCCACAGCTTAAATAGGTAGAAAGCCTAAGCTTTTTTTTTATTTATTTAGTCTATGATGTGGCTATCCAATGATACAATTGGATTTATCTTCTAAAACAAAATTTTAAAAGCAAAATACCTGCCGTTTAACCCCGGTCTCCCCTATTATGATAATCCATTCCTTCGTTAAAAAAAATAACAAATAAAATGAAATAAACGGTTAAAGGCTAGATTTAACAATACCCTCCCAGGGCCCGTGATTAATAATTTTTGCTTGATAGGCATTTGTAGGGGGGGGGGTTACCTAAATGTATCTGCAGATTTCTGTTGGTAGGGGATATCAGTAAATTATTTTTCTGGGTTCTGATCCATTCCCAAGTATTCCCAAAAGTAAGCCCCCCCCCCTTTATTCTTATATAAAACATTTTAAGATTGTTCGCTTCTGTTTAATTATAAATTTTTGTTTTTTTAACTCACTTAAAATGATTATCGGGAAAAGCAGACGAGTTTGACGAGAATATATTCTCATTGAATTGGCTTCCGGTTTTATTTTCGATTAGGTATTCGGAATTGGGAACCGTTATTCGTACGAATTTCAGATCAACGTTTCCTACCACAATATTCTCAAACTCGAAAGGGTAAAGTTGGTTGGCTGCAAAACCATGGCTTAAGCCTATATTTAATATGATAATTTAGATAATAGCCATTTAAAACAATAATCAATATATAGAATGTTGTAATTGTGGAAATATTCAAATTTACAAGATTAAGAAAAACGCCAGACAGGCAAATTACTTTTAAACAAAATTACGAAGCCGAAAGATATTCATATCTACTCAAGAAAAAGAATTAAATCTCGGTACAAATTGAGACTAAAATGTTGATTAAAGAAAAAGGATATATAATGGAGAAATTATGATGCGAAAAATGATGATTAAATTATAATTTTTTTAATCTTTAATCTTTAATTTATATTAATTTTATTTTTCTTTTATTTTGATTATGTTTTTACCTTATATTTAAGTATTTAATAAAGATTTAGTAAAATTTTAGTTCTAAAAATTCCATTATTTTACAATGATGTTGGAGAGTGGAGGCGACAGGGCAAATTCAACAATTCAGTCTAATTAACCCTGAAAAGAAATTCTAAATAAAGGGGGAAAGGGGATGTATGAAAAGAGTATCGACACTAAGACAAAGAAGAAGAGCAATAAAACAATGGTATCAATATTAATGGTCGTATTTCGGAAAAGAATAGAATTAGTCATTTAGCTAAAAAGAATTCGTCACAAGAGATCGTTATACGTACAAGTGATCGATGTAGCTAAACGAAATTCAATTTTTATTAAAGATATACGTTTAACTGTTATTTAAGTTGATAATATTTAGCAAAATATCAGGTTGTTGATTAACCAAAATCTTCATAAAGAGAAACGGCTTTTCGTCATTAGAAAATATATGTCGCAATCGAGCTCAATTAGAGATCGGATTTTTATTTTGGATCAAAAGATACAAGAAATTAGGGCTGTGCCGATCCACATATTTTTCACCCATCCGATCCGATATTTTCCGATATTGGTTCAAAACCGATCCGATACCTATCCGATATTTATATTAATTTTTCACCACCCCTCTTTGAACCAAATGTAATTAATAAATCAATATTATTTATGCATAAAAGAATTATGCATAATTTAATTTTTTTATTTCAACAATAATTTTAAAAAAAATATATAATAATATATCCATTTTATGTTGGTTTATAAAATTGTAATATTTAATATATAAAATTATAATATATTAGATTTTTTTTAATAAATATAAGAGCCTCTAGATTTTCAGGCAATAGGCTTCTACGATGAGGACTATCAATATCCCCTGCCGTACTGAAGGCAGACTCAGATGGGACACTTGTTGCTGGAGGAGCCAAAAATTTACGTGCAAGTGTTGATAAAGTTGGATATTTTACAGCATTAACTCTCCAATATTCAAGTGGATTCACTGGGGATATAATATCAATATCATCAATGTTATTCGAGTTTTCTAAATAAATAACACAAATATAAAATTAGCATTTATAAAATAGTGGGTTTCATACAAACCCAATCTTTTGTTGATTTTGAAAAATCACCCAAACAAATGGGTCAATCATAGCCCAACCAAGCAATATTTAAATTAATATGAAAAATATGTTGTTATACTTTCTATATATAAAGATTCTTTTAAATATTCCTTGATTTCTATTAGGTATGGCAGGTCATCATTTACATTACTATCGATTTCATTTATTACTAGTTTTTCTATGATTTTCAATTTATAAGCATCCCTTAAATTAAATTTGCATTTTTTAATGTTATGTGGAACATTTTTCTCATTGTCATTACCTAAGTTAACAATAAAATCTAAATTTATTTTAAAAAATATAAAACCTGGCGAATCTTTATTAGAAATTGGAAGTTGAACATTATCATCACCTTTAAAAAAAGACTCACATGCAGTCCTGAGCTTTTCTATGTATGATATGTTTTTTGGAAAAAATAAATCCTTATATCGAGGATCAAGTAATGTTGCGACAACATAATTGTCATCATCATAAATATCAAAAAACCGAGTTTTTAATTGATTATTAGTGGTATTCTTCATAGTCTGCACACCTCTATCTGTGTCCCCATTAATTGTTAATTCACTTTTCAGAATTTCAACAAAGGGTATAACATTGCTAATTGAACATGATTCCGTACTTATTTCTTTCGTTACTCTCTGAATTGGTTCAAGAACATCAATTACCCTTTCTGCTAATTCCCACTCATATAATGAGAGATTTCCCAAATTAGGATTATCGATAATGAACAGCTGTACCGCCCTTTTTTGTTCTATCAATCTTTCGAGCATATAATAGGTAGAATCCCAACGGGTGGGCACATCCTGGATTAATTTGTGCTGGGCTAGACTTAATCGAATTTGGATTTCTTTTAGACAATTTTGTGCAATAGAAGAATGTTTAAAGTGTCCTACTATTTTTCTAACCCGGGCAAGCATGTCAATAATAGATCTCTGTGATAAAATTGCTGCCTGTGCAACCAATTGCAAACTATGTGCAAAACACGAAACGCTTTGAAATTTCCCATTTATCATGGCCAAAGTTATATTGGGTGCATTATCTCTAATGATTAGGTGTATTTTATTTTTCTTTATACCCCAATAATTAATAATTTCATCTAAAATTTGAGCAATATTTATTGCTGTGTGCGACTCATTAAATGTTTTAACATTTAGAACTCTATTAATTTTTTGAAAATTTTGGTTTATATAGTGGCATGTTAATGAGATGTGAGAATCGCCACCTGAATTTCTAGTCCATATATCTACCGTAAAGGATAAAAAAGAATCGTCAACCAAAATTTCTTTACGAATTTTTTCGGAGAGTTTTTCATATATATCCGGAATAACTCCTTGCGAAAAATACTTTCTATTGGGAATTTTGTAATTTGGACATAAATGATGTAAAAGCCTTTTAAAGCCTATATCCTCCAAGATAGAAATGGGCTGGTAGTCACACGCTATCATTTCTCCTATAAATTTAGAAATTATTATTGATTTAGGATCAGAATGTTTCCAAATATTAGTTTTATTAAGAATGGCTGATATTGTTGGCTGACTTTCAGGGCTCTTTTTTTAAAAAATTTGATTTGTTTTTTCTAATATTTCTCGTTCTTTTTGTGTTAGCTCTTCGAATTCCTTTTGATGGCAACGCTTCAGATGTTTCCTAATGTTAGTTGTATTGAACGAATTTTTCAGTATTCCTCCCCGTGAAATTAGAATTCCGCAGATGACGCATTTTGCAAAATTACCTTCATCTTTATCAAAATATTTCCATAATTCAGAAACCAACCATATTTAAAATAATTTTTATTTAAAGTATAAATAATAAAATTGGTGTTATTTTTTTAAAAAATTAAAAATAAATAAAACTTTGGGTGTTCCTTTCTATTTTTAGAAAAAAACTTGTAAAATCTATTTAAAAAAATAAATAACATTTGCATTGTTTAAAAAAAAAATTATTTATAAAATATTATTAATGTAAAATAGAAACTGGAAAAAATTTATTTTTTTTTTAAATATTTAAAAAAAATTTTTTTTATTAAAAAATAATAATTCAAAGTTTCATTACTCAAAAGTTTTATAAGAATTGCATTTTTAGTAAAAGGATCGGATCGGGTTTTTTACAGGTATCGGGCCGATCCGATATTTTTGAAAACGCCGAATATCGGGACCGATCCGATATTTAATATCGGCACAGCCCTACAAGAAATCATTATCGTATAAGAGATCTTAAGGCAACGTGGATATCTTAACAAGCGACTAGGTAGAACAAGTGGTCAAGACCAGGATGCTATCGTTAATCGTTGACAAATTATCGCCAATTGCTTATCAAAACTTTAGTATAGGATAAAAAATCGATGATCTTAGAAACAAGAAGTCGTGGAAACAATCGTTACTCGCAAACAATTATCGTCAGTCGTTTACCGTCATTAGTTACTAGAAACCGTTAGAAACAAGCAAGGACTAGGATAATTTGGGATTAAAACGAAATATAATTTAAAGAGCTAGAAGAGTGCATCGGGAATCATGATAACAGAAGTATCGAGTTCGTCAATGGCCTATAGAGATCAAGAGATAATCGTTTACAAGGGGTTGACAAGAAACAGAAGGAATCAAGAATTTCAGAGTGTAATCAAATACAAACAGTCCTTAGAAGTGAAGAATATTAGACAATAGACCGCTGTCGTTAGAAACTAGAAGACATTAAAGATTAAGACGAATAGATTCGGCGGAGAAACAAGATCAGTAAAGTCAAAATCGGAAGAAAGGAGATCACTCGCAGAATGGTGGGACTAATCTAAGTGGAAAGGTGTTGTAATTGTGGAAATATTCAAATTTACTAGATTAAGAAAAACGCCAGACAGGCAAATTACTTTAAAACAAAATTACGAAGCCGAAAGATATTCAAATCTACTCAAGAAAAAGAATTAAATCTCGGTACAAATTGAGACTATGCAAATGTTGATTAAAGAAAAAGGATATATAATGGAGAAATTATGATGCGAAAAATGATGATTAAATTATGATTTTACGAACTTAATTTTTAATTTTTTTATATTATTTTAATTTTTTAGTTTAATTTCTTATTTATTTATGTAATTAGTATTTATATTAATTAATAAAGTATTAGTAGTTAATTTATTTATACTATTTATTTTATTCTCTAAATTCTTTCAACCACTATAATTGTTGGCCGAAACATTATATTCTATGGACATATTCAGTCTACTTAAAATACTAAAATGTTACATAGAAAAACGTTGGTAAGGCTAAATCTTTAAGCCTAACCACCCCCCCCCTCCCCAATTATATGGAGTTAGTTTAAAGTGGTGCTCAGAAACCATGCTTACCACAGCTGTAGCCAGGGGCATGAAAATAAAATCCCGTTTATGTAAATTTACAAGTCTCCTCAGATAGCATTTAATTAAAAATTATCTCCTTACTCAACATTTAAAAGTTCATGCAAATTTTTCAGAGTTCTTAAAGTATCTGGATACACGTTAATAAAAGTATCTTTATTCATTTTAAGATTCATTTAGATTTTTATTATATTAAAAATAATAATTATTGAATTAAATTTCATTTAATAATATGTCCGAATCTATTTTATCGTAAAAACAAACATCAGACAAATTTGATTTTCGCAATGTTGACAATAAGGTATATTTTATATTATATTATATAATATATTTATTTTATATATATTATTTTTAAAAAATATACACATGATTATATATTTACTTTTTGAATTCTGAGCCTTTATTATAGGGTATTCTTAGTTTAGTCATTTAAAAAAAAATAGGATTTTTTATATTTTTTAATAGTTCAACTATTTTTTTTGTAATTAATATAAAATCTTCTTAATCCTCCTGGAAAGTTATTCATGATTCTATATTTTATTTTTTAAAATTTGAGGCTTTTTAAATAGGGGATCTCTTAGTTTCCTCAAAAACAAAATGTTGGTTTTTCAATACTATTTTAAAAAAATAATTTTTTTGAATTAATTTTTACATATTCTGAATCACGTTGAAAAGATAAATTACAGAACCATTTTCTAAATCATATTGAAGAGTTATATTATTCTTTATATGATATGTGCATGTTTAATAGGGGCTTCCTAGTTCACAAGGATTCTTATTTAAGTCAAGCCCTGATGTAAGCCTGGTGATATTGTAACTAGTTGGCAGAAAGTTTTGAATCATTATTTGCCAAATCTAGAGGTTTTCATAATACTAATTTGATTAAAATTTTAAAAATTATCCAAAAATGGACTTCTAACAACACTAGTTATATTACTTAGATTTAAGTTATTTATTATAATCCTTATGATTCAATGTTTTTAAAACAAATGTTAACCTTCAATTAAAGTGACACCAAGAGGGAAAGAGCTAAGTAACCAACCATTATCATAAGATTTGTACTTTAAAGTATTTGAGGATTGATTTTGTAGGATTTTGGAAATGAGATTTGAATTTTTAGAAAATAAATTTGATATGCCATCTTTCAATGGACAGTAATAAATAGTAGAGGCATATATTTTTGAGTGATGCTCTGGTAATTCTTTTTTGATAGCCTTTACAAATGCTTGTTGGATTCCAAAAAATTCAGTATTAAATACCACATGACAATATATATTGGGAATATAGGAGGCAAAGTGACGAGAAAATATAGCAAAACATTTAATACAAAATTCTTGAATTTTTATTAAAGCCAAATATAAAAATTTATAAAGCATTAAATGCTGACTTTCCCATATAGCGGAAGCTGGCTCAGTCCTAGTGAGTGTAACTATCTTGACACCTTTAAATTTTTTTGCTTGATTTTGATTATCAATTATTATAAAATAGGGATCCCAAAATGCAGAATAAACATAAATTTCTGTATTAGAAAGAGGTATTTGATTCCAAGAATTGACTGGATAAGTTTGAATTCTTATATTATGTAAATAGCTTTCTAAACATTCATTTACACAAGGAAGTAAAGTTCTATAGCTATAATTAAAAATCTCTTGATTCATTTCCTTTTTTAAATTGAGTGATTTTTTGCAATTGATCCATATAGTTTTGTAGTTGATAATATCATAATATTTATAAACTAGGTTACTTGACAGATTGTTAATACTATATGATGATAATATGGATACTTGGTTAAGCCCTATGTAATAAAGGAAGAAAACCAGCACCAGTATAGAAAATAAAACATATTGATATTTTGAAACCATAAATATATTGTCATGTGCTCTTAAATAGTTTTATTATTATCTAAAATGGTCACATATAAATTTCAAAATTTATATTGAAAATGTAATACATGATACGTGATAAAGAACGTTTTTGCCCTCTAGTTGTGGATACAACAGAACTACATTAAGTTTTTCTCACAATCCATCTAACTGGACAAATTAAAAAAGGGGATAAAAATGAGGAGTCCTTAACACGTTTGTGGGCAAGCCGCACGTACTTGTACGCGTAATAGTCCTAAGACTATTACTTAAACGTCTGTGGGCTGATAGGGTCAAAATAAGCACAGCCTAAAAATAAATAAATCCATTTATTCACTATACCACCAGGTGCAATTTTATCACCCATTAGGAATCGAGGCTTATCGTGTTTTAACTAATATATAGATCCCATACATGATGTCTGCAAATTTTATTAGAATGGATGGTAATGGATTCAACTAGAATAGTAATTTAAATGGAGTAATTAATTATTTATTAGTTCCGTTGCCTGCAGAATAGTGATAAATGTTGAAATATAATATAATGATATAATATAATAATAATAATGTATCTGACGCTCCAGTAATTTATATTTAAATAATATGATTAGTTTGCTTAAATAATTTTTTTTAATCTTAAATGTTGATGGTATATCCTTATCTTGCGTCCTATAAGAGAAACTCTTGTATGTTAATATTGTTTGTACTAATTTCAGTGATTACTGAAGACCTCTTATTATTATATAATCGGTTTATGGCTATTATTATCATTATTCTTGCCATTATTCTTAATTTTAAAAAAAAATATAAAATTGCCATTAATAGAATACGGTCAATTTAACATGAAAATAATTCAAAAGATGTAAGGTCTTCACAAAAATTATCCTTAAGTTTGAAAAAGCGCGAAGATAAAATAATAGAATAAGGAAGTGCTTTCGATGTCTTACGTCATCATCTTGTAGGAGATTGATACCGCACCTACTTCTAAGTTGTTAAATAAATCCTCAAATAATTGATAAAAATTTTGTATTATCTAATTCGAGAGGAAAGTTGTTTACAATTGAAATAATTCCATCCAAACCATTGGTGAGGGATGAGACAAACGCTTTCCCAATAAAGTTGTCAGCAAGTTCTACAAGAGATAAATTGTATGGACATACACAAGAGAATTGATTTGATAAACAAGCGCAATTATCCTTTGAAATGAAACCATGTCAGTAAATGGGCATGCTCGAAATCATCAATCCCATCTATAATTTCAAATAGCAACCACGTCCATAAATGGGTATGCCAAATGATATTCTCCAATTACGATAGACAATATTTATAAAAGCGTTGGAAAATTATTTACCAAAGGAATTGGGGTGACTTTTTAAAAAGAATATTTTTTTACATTTACACAGTGGCGTCGCTAAGGGCGCGCAAGGACTCGAGCCCCCTGAAAAATTTGAATAGCCCTCTGAAGAAATTTTTTTTTTTAATGATTCCTTAATACCCCCTTGAACTAAAAAAAAATTTTTTTAATTGCTCCCTGAACGATTTCTTTTATAATTCTATTAAGTAATATATAGATTTAATTTTATTATTTAAAAACAATAAGGCTATCTAAATTTTTATTAAATATACTATTTTAATTATTAGATTAGATTAATAATATAAATTATATTTTATACTATGCCAACTTGCGATCAAATTCTGTGTTAAAAATAGAATATCAATATCACTCACTAAATATTAATTTGGCATTAACAGTAGAAGCTTAATTGACTTTTATTATTTAAATTTTTATATAACCCTAATTAAATAAATATAATCATTTATTAATTGAAAATTAACAAATTTAATTTTGTAATTAGCCGAGTTTAACATCACTAATCAACTATATTATTGATTTTTAAATTTAATTATCATGTCTCTTTCTAAAATTATTTTCAAGGTCCAAATCCAAATAAGTATAAGATATTTATTTATAAAAAGTAAGTAGACATATATTTTATAATCCTCTATTATATATAATTATTTATAAAATATTAGGTAAAATGCCACTTTTGTAGACGTATTTGACAGTTATATATAATAAATATAAGTAACAATTTGCATTCAACTATTTAATGCCATTTATTTATTTATAAATAATTTTAAAAATTAAACATTTTATTAATCATTCTGCAATAATTGTAATAATTATATCATTTCCATTCTTTTTACGTGAATTTAGGAAAGCTAATTTTTTCTTTTTCGAAAAACAGTTTTGAGTTAAATTTTTAATACGAATATATTTTTGATATTTATAAACTACTATTATTTTAAGATATAGTATACCAAGTAGAGATGGTGCGACAATAATATATAAAATTTTAATTTCTATAATGTTATCACTCTAGTTCTTATTTTATAGTTACAAAATGTTTCATTTCTAATATGGCATCCTTGCAGTGTAAATAACTCAAGGTTTCAATATATTTGCATAATTTCTTTTAAAGATTTATAGTGTTTTTGTTTCATCAATTTATCTAACATAATAAATTCTGATATGGGTTACCATCATGGGTGTCATGGCTATGACTGTAAATTAACCAGCATCTATTATTTGTGTGGCTATGTAATTTAAGATTATTATTACAGCTACTGAGAGCATATGATTGCATATTTTAGATAAGCAATAATGGTCAACTGTGTAGTCGTTTTTATATCATTAAAAATGGATGATAATCTTTTATAAATTTAATATGTCACTATAATTTTCTCGATTACTTATCTAGCTTACATCATGTAAGAGGTAGCTCTAACCCCCATATTGTTTTATGATTTTTGGTCGTTCATATTCTCTTCGAGAATTGTTGATTTGGTAAGACTTATAAATTTCTTCTTTTCTTATTAGTTTATTCTATAAAACAGTGTCTACTGTAATAAATAGATTTTGTATTAAAAAATTATTATTTTTAGATATGTTTAATTATTTATATGCTAGTTTATTTTGTATGCAAAATATAATAAATGACAAAATATGAATTTCAGAATAATTGTTTAGAGTTAGCAAATTTTAAAAAAGTATAATGTACTAATATAAAACCCGGCCGAAGGCCGGGTATGCGAGCCGAAGGTCCGCATATTAGGTGGTATGGGGGCGAAGGCCCCCATAAAAATTTTAGTTGAGCCCCCTGAGATTGTAAAGGCTAGCGACGCCCCTGCAATTACATAAAGGTTTATAGGTCCCTTTTGCGATAAAATAATTTTTATGACATATTTTATCAGCATTTTTATATTTACACAAGTATTTTATAGGTTCCTTTTGGGATAGAATATTGTTATATAAAGCTATGTTTAGCATTTTGAAGTTTACATGAGTCTTTTTTTTGTTTGGGAACATTTGGATAATATTTAGTGTATAAACAGTTTCTGTGGAACTGAGACTTTTTAGATTTTGATGTACATGCTCGTGGCTTACTAAAGGTCGGTATACTACATTTTTATATTTATTATCATTTTTTTTATTATTAATTATAAAAAATGTCAATCATTAGTTATAAAAAATTTAAAAATATTCTTATTCAATGTTTATTTATGAAAATTAAAGACAATATGAAGGAATATTATATTAGATATTTGGCAATATACTCATCACTTTGTGGTAATGGGCTTGAGATATTTTTAGCGCAAAAACATTCGCGGTAAAAAAATAGCCAATAAAAGTTTCGCAATAATTTATTCTCAATAAAGATTTGTCTAAATGTATTCGCTCTTAAAATAATCACGGACATAAATTTGAAATGTTGGATATTATTTTCTTTGATTTGTATGTCTCGTGGAAAAAAAATTGAGGAATTGGTTTCGTCATAAAAGTTTAGCAAAAAAGTGACACTTGATAAAATTTTCGGTGAATTGCCCTGATGCTGATATATAATTGTTAAATTTGCAAAAAAATTTTTACCTGATTCATCATCATTAAAATTAAAAAATTATTAGGTGATAAGCATGAAAATATTTTCAAGCTCATCAATATTAATATTACACCTGTAGAAATAAGTATTATTCATATATATTTTTTATAAAATAAATTATAATATTAGAGAATAATAATATAATAATTGGAGTCTCGAATTGCATTTTAAATGGGTAAATGATTTTAAGGGTTAGATATAAAAAAAAACTTATAAAATAATAAAAGTAAAAAAATTGATACGATTGGAACTTAGTATTATACCAGAATAGTGTAAATATATTCCCCTTGGGATTCATGGACCTTAACCAAGATCTTATATTTAATCATACACAATAAACCTCTTTGACAAATTTGGAAACTCCAATAGGTAAAGACGAGTCTCATCTTTGCCGATATTTCAGGGGAGATATCTCTCATGCGTACACTAACGCCTCTCTTAGCCAACCAAGCTTTCCCATAATTCTGAGGATTTTGTATAAACTCCTATCCATGCTAGATTTTTAATATGTCATCCAAATTGGGGGTATTTACAGGCTACCTTACTAAACAAATCTGGTGGCATTGATATAAGGTTGCCTCATACATTCCATGGTGCATTCATACCCCCTTACCTTCCCAGGGACCATTCTCTACTCTTCTCCAAATCTGAAGGTAGCGGTTAAGAATTTATCGAAGCTTTTTCATCGACAAATCTTGATCATGAGCTACGCCATGCCATTGGTCTTAGACTCAATTGCGAAATACTTATACCCTATCACTCTTCGCAACTCATTAGACATTCAAAGTGTAATTATACTTTAGCCAGGGCCTAAAAATCCAAAAGTCTCATCGACTCTAGAACCCACTGGACTATA